GGAGGCGGGCGAAAGCGGCGCGGCTCGCAGCCAGAGTGCGGACGGCAGACAGCTCTGGACCTCGGAACTGTCCAAGTGGGTTAGACACAGCGGGGGTCTGTCTGACAAGCAAGTAAGGGTAACGATGGCAGGGCTCAGGCAGGTGGGAGGCGGCCCAGAATAAATGCTCCCTGGGTTTATGCAGTTCTTCCAGCACTCTGGTGCTCAGCATCAGGCTGGGGGATGCGTGTGTGTGAGGTTTCAGCATCTGTAGCTTCACATACAGCCAATCACTGCACCTACCAAGCTGGTCCCCAGTCAAAGAGCCAGTCGCTTCCAAAGGGTGCTGCCATTTTGTACTTTGCCCTGTAATTCTCAAAGGTCTACCAAAAGAACAAAAAAAATGGCTGGCCAATGGTAATCCACTTCCTCATCCTGAATATTTTATTGGCTAGTCAGTGCCGCTTTCCAGAACACCACTCGTGTTTTAAGCTTCTGGTCTGTGCTAACAAGCAGCATGCAACCAGCTGGTCAGTACCTCCTGTCCTCCCCTGTCCTACATATTACAGATGGCACATGATAGTTTTGACAAATTGATTATTTCCATCACGCCACTGTAACTTTTTCAGTCTTACCATAAATGGGAAAAATGGCTTTTCCTCTGTAGAACTTAAGGAAACAAAATGTATTGTGAAACCCCACAGACCTCCATGTGTTCTCCAGCCTGCCTGATAACTAGCTTCCCCAGGACAGTAAAAAATGGAAGTTTGGCCCACAATGGCCCATCCCTAAACTTGAAGATCCCACTCCCTAGGGAGGCCCCATCCCTTTACTTCCTGTTGCCCCCCCTCCCCACAGGCCATATAAAGCAGTGCAGGAGGATGCTGAAAGCCAGCAGTATCAGCCTGATGAATGGGCCTCCTGTTTTATCTGTTCCTCAGCACTTAATAACCTGAAGCACAGGTCTGACCTCCTTACAACCCCAAGCCAAAAACTTTCCCAGTCAAATCCTGCAGAACAAATCTCAAACCACACAGATTTTCTCTAATCACCTAATTCATACATGTCAAACAACAATGATCTCCAGGAAGTCTCTAAATGCGGAGATACAATTAGAAATTGGAGGGCAAATCAAGGATTAAATGCCATTATTTCTACAGTACTGGTACTGGAGGGTCTGCAACTAGTTTCTGCTTGGCATCTCAGCCACATGTGGTCCACTAAGCTTTGCCTCGGCACATTAGGTCAGCTCGCACGGCCCCGTACACACCTGGGAATGGTATGCTGATGGCTCTTCCTGTTGCTCCTCTGACTAATCCCTTCTCCGCTGTCAGAGAGAGAGCCTCTTCCTTCCTGGGAGAGCGTCAAGTCGCTCTGACCTAATTCCAGTCACTGGGAGCAGGGCATAATGGCGGCAGAACGGCCACACAGACGGGCTAATATTGCTCATCTCCTGCCTCACCACAAGAGTGCTGCCGGTTCATTTCCCTCTCTTAACATGTGTCTTATCTGCCAGTGGTGCAAATGATGCCAGCACAGTGTTCCAGTTCCACACCCAGCACTGCTCGTGTACCTGTATGCAACAAAAACACCCTCCTGAGCTCCTTCAAAATAATATAATATAATATAATATAATGTATTGGAGTTCCCTATTTAGATCTGAACTAAATTAAGGTTTGTCTACATTACACTGCTAGGACTATAATTCTGTTCTGATCTAGACTAATGCCAAACTACTTTTCATTTGTGCCACTACATTCTTCAATCAGTGCTAAGGTGGAAAGCAGTCAGCTGGCTTGGTTTTGTCCACTCCACTCAATACCTGGCGGGAGTCGATGGTGACCCGGTTAACCAGTGACCGGTGCAGAACAGCTTGATGAGGCTATTTCATCATGTGTGCGCAAGACGTTAACCAGTCCAAACATGCTTCAGAGAGGATCCCGGGAGGCTAGTGATAGGGAGGGAACGTTCACTGTCATACTCATCTGAGTGCGACTTTTTAATTTAAATTTCAAGCCCCGGTTACTGGCAGATTGTTTAAAACACGCAGAGGGTGTTGTGTGGACATGCTCGCCACAATGCAGAAATAATCATAATTCTTTGCTAAAGGTCTTCATGTTTTATTCTGTCTTGGCGAATCTGTTGGGAACTCCAACGTTCACCTTGACTCCTCATAAAATGTGCAGCACCTGTTCATCCACAGTCATACATTTTTATGACTTTATTTTTATGACTTTTATTAACCACAACTGGGGTAGCGATTTCTTATACAATGATGTGTAAACACACACAGCCCATACGTAGAGTGTATATATACATTCAAAGCACGCATTCTGGAAAGCAGAGAGCTGTTTGCACCCACATATACGCTTGCTGGGAGACAGATGCCTTCTTACGTAACTGCTTATATAATATGCCCTGGCCTCTTAATAAGCATACTCCTCTTACACAGTGAGAACGGGGGTTTCTGTGGGGTTATGAACTGCTCGCCGGGCACCGCAGTTCACAGTCCATGATCAATGAACCGGGCAACTTTATGGCTTTCCAGGATGAAGGCTCGTCTAGAGGAGCTGCATCATTTTTCTCGGGTGAGAGCGGTGGCCGGTGTGCCCGCGCAAGCAATGCCAGCACTGAGACGGCACTCAGGTGGAGGCAAAATGAAACCGACGGCAGACGAGCATGTTCCTTCTCACCGGAAAACCACCCCGACCCCTACGCAGCCCCCGGCCTGAATCACGGAGAACAGGCATGCGGAGAATCTGCAGATCCCTTACCACCGACAGTGGCCAAAGCGCCCTGAAAGAGGGATGAAGAAAGAGAGGGGAAGGGAGGACAGAAAAAGAGGGGTGGGAAAAAAAAGACCAGCATTCATTCAGACATAAAGCTTTCCTCCCTGCAGCAACACACTCTCATTCAAAGGCCTTTAGCTCCTCTTTGATGTAACTATAATTAGTCCATACACTGTGTGAAGTGTTTAAAAGAAATAAAATTGCAATGAAACAGTTCAGCGCTCCAAACACAGGTTACATGGCTGGAGCATAAAAACGCGGGAGAAATTAATCTGGCCGCGTTTGATGCGCATGATCAGAAATGTGTTTATTAAGTGGAAAGGGGAGCCGTAATTAACCCGCAGACGGCTTGTTTTCTTTGGGGCTTCTCATGTGTCAGGCGGTTCAGCCCACCCTTCCTCCCACACCCTCTGGACAATTTTCCCTTCAATTACTTGAACGTTTTACACTGCTAATTCAGGCTGGGGAGGCAGCACTTTCTTACGAGTAAAACAACAAAATGAAAACAAAATTAGTCACTGGGTTAGGATGTTCATTATGTTGCCTGTGGTGCTACCACCACCCAAGCTACAGTGATGATCAGTTAATTCAGGTAGTAACAGGTGGGGGGAAGGGGTCAGAGCTGCCCCACCCAGCAATAATTCCACAGAAATAAGGAAACGTTACCCCCAGGGCTAATGTCACTCATGGGGTCCTACCCAGGGGCGGATCTAATGGGTGGCCTTGCCAGTCGTGGCCACCCCAGTTGTGACTGCAAACCAAAAAATAAAAAGGAAACATGGAGCATGCATTTCTGCAAACCAGAGCTGTCCAACCTGTTGATCATGGCATGTGTCCAACTCAATTGCGAGATAATTAATGGATAATGCTCACAACTGGCAATATGTACTGAGAGGGAACCCCCCCCCCCGAATATTACCCCATTACCACTCCAGTAAAACCATTTTGGCTCTAGTCTGGCCACCCCATTGTACCAGGTTTGGATCTGTCCCTGATCCAACCTAAAGAATAAAAAACTGCTGTAACACACAGGGAAAAATAAATAAATGAGGGCCCTACAACTTGGGGCCCTGGGCCTTGGCTAGCCCCTGCCCCTGCCCCTGCCCCTGCCCCTGCCCCTGCCCCTGCCCCTGCCCCTGCCCCTGTCCTTGCCCCTGCCCCTACCCCTGCATCTCCAAGCGGAGAAACCAGGTATTTGGTGTATGGAAAAGGGACCTCAGTCAGAGTACCCATCCTCCAATAGGCCATCATGTTCTGAGAGAGGGACCAATCAAAAACGTCCATTGAGTGTCCACTGAGGAGGCCTGCAGCACAGAGCCAGCGTGCAGGCCAGGAGGAAGGAGGCTCAAGTGTTAACATCACATCACTGTAGCCATGATTCTGAAGAATGATAGGAGAATGATTGGAAGAATGACAGACACTGTATACATCGTATAATGCTTCCACGGTCTCCAGGGAGCTGAAGAGGATGGATAACATTCAGTGCATTAGAGGTTTAGGTGTAACACTTTGGCTTTTATTTTGATTCACTCTTATCTCTCTAAAGCCAACAAAGCAAGAGGATAAGAAAATAAGAAAAATAAATCTAGGTGGGCACATTCTCCAGGTATTGTTTCATCCTAAAAAATACACATATGGGGAGAAAAATGTAAAAAGAATAAAAATAGATAAAATAGCTCTACGGTTTTAGTGGGTAAGTGCCCGCCCGCCTCCCCGTACTTTCAAAAGAAAAGAAAAATGGTTTAAATAATTTGGGTTCACACACAGTCTAAATGGGAATCAAAGCGGATCAAAGAATCACTGGGTCTTGCTATCAGCTGTCACCAGTTAGCAGCACTAGCGCTAGCTAACAGTTCAAAAGGCCTTGGCCTTATATGCGTATAATGCAGACACAACCGATAATATATAAAATATAGAGACTGTGAAACTTCAAATGGAATAGAATGTGACAAAGCAGAATAGAGAAAGTAACTTTCCCTTGGAGGTTAAAAAGGCTCTTTTTTCCTCGCTGGGCCTCCTACTTTGCATGCTATGCACCAAAGCCTAATAGAACATTATTTTTTTAGATCCAGAGGAAGTGTAGTTTGCCGCAGGACAAGGATGAACTGGATTGTTTACAGAGGCAGCACTTTCTCAAAGAAGCTAAACGTTATTTATTTTTAATCATTCGATGCCTTTCCCACAAGCAGAGGGTGGGAAGTACAAAGGGGTAGAGAAACTATTCGTACTCACCAGCTCTACAAACGACAAGCCGCCATAACTGTGTGCGATGAAGAAGACGTTCTTTGCGGCCGATTTGGATATGAAGTTGTCCCACACGTACAGAACATGCTCCTCTGGAGTGCTGTTTTTCTGCAACAGAAAGGGGGAAAAATGCATTATAAAACCAGCACTGGTAATGTGACCGTTTCAAAACCTCGCAAACAACATGAATCCTAAATAACAAAGAGACTTTTAAAATAGTCTTTATGTAATCAATGAGCCCTGAATATTGTAAATTCCAGGGATGTAAAACTCGATAGCCTTCTGACGTAACATTTAAGTCTTAATTTGTACCACGCTGCTGAATCAATAAGGCATCCATGGACTGTAAATGTACAATCCTGAAACATATTGGTCACAAGTGGAAACAGCTGAGAAGAGAGGAATGTTAGTGTTTTAATTAATGCAACAGAGAGAGCTTCTTGCTGTGCTGTAAAAGAAAAGGGGCATTCATTACTGCATCTTCACACTGATCCTTCCGTTTGATTTTTTTTCCCATATGTACCCCGCGTTGTTACAACACGGGCCTTTCAGTAGGTCCATGCATTATGTTTTTTACTAGCTGAGCACTCTGCTCACTGACCACTGGAAACGTCATGCCACAGTAACGAGTTTCTTTAACTAGTTTCCGCAGCAGCAGATGAAAACACTCAAACTAGTGTTATAAAAGAGGTATATAAATTCCCATTTGGCTGACTTTTTGAACAAGCCGTACTAATTGCTATTGTTTGTGGCATGCCCAGTACACATCAAACACAGATGATTACTAACACATAAATTAGTAGCCTTTCTAACAATTACTAATAAATTGTTGTTCTGTCCTCACACAAATAAACAGATGGATAGATGGATGGATAGATGGATAGTCAGATAGAAATACAGACAGACATAGATATGGAACATTTATGAAAACTGGGTGTCATACTGACCAGGGAAAAGATAAGGAGTATTTTACTTAAACGTAGACTAGACAGCAGAATGGTGCTGAAACACCATGCAATGCAACAAAGAACTAGATTCAGATCATAGCATCATTCAGCAAAAGCTTTATATTTCTCATTTTCCATTTGCACAACTGAATCCATATGTAAAATGATCTAGATCAGGGGTGTCAAACATACGGCCCGCGGGCCGAATACGGCCCACTATGGTGTCCAATACGGCCCGCGGGATGATTTGAACAATAGTATTAAATATCAAATCTTTTTTATTATCATCATTATTATTAGTAGTAGTAGTATTAAAAAGGAATGAGTGTTAATGAACAGTTCCTGAGGACTTGTTAAATGCAGTTTTACAGAATATAGTGCATTTGTTGTAATTTGATGCACTATGATTAAAAAAAAATAATAATAAATTCGGCCCGCACATGGTCACATTTTCTTCTCATCCGGCCCTCACCCTAAAATGAGTTTGACACCCCTGATCTAGATAGTAACAACAGCAAATGTAATGAACATAGTTTGCACAGATAAATATATGGTCAGAGGCTCACGTAAAAACAATTTTAAGATCAAATCTTGCAACTTCGTTATGTTTAACATTTCTATGCCTTTACTAAACCGTTCTGGAGAACAGAAAGCTGTTCCTTTGTTTTTTAGAGCAAAGGCACCTGCACACCTTTTGACTTCTAGTAAATTATGGAACAATCGGGTGACTATTTGAGCATTTTGGTGTGGTTGTTATTGTTTGTTGAAAGTAATGAATTGGAATAAAACAACATCTCTGAATCCGTGATGCAACACAGTGCAACTGCAGTCCTGCCCTGATCTTTCCACTGGAGGGAAGCAGGGGTTGTGATGCCTGAAGGCCTGTGGCATTCATGTTCCCTCAAGTCTTCCTTTTCCATCTGCCTTCCCTCGTTACTCACTGTCCTCCACACTGCATTCCATCACAAACTGGCTCTCCAGCCCCTACTGACCAGCCCAGGGTACTGGGCTGACCACTGCATGCCTGTGTTGTCATGTCACTGGTCTGCCTCTGCAGACTGACAGTGGTCCTGCGTGATTCTTCACCTGAGGTGTGTGACGTGAATTCGGCTCTTTAGCTTTCTTGAAAGCACCCCGGTGGTGGCAGCTAGGACAGCACCCCACCTTCACCTCAGAGTAGATGACAAAAGCCTTAAAGAAGAGAGATCTCCCGACCTCCACCCCCCCACCCCCCCACGTCCCACTGAGACCCCTCATTACACGCACATTTACAAGGTGGGCTACAGACTGACATTAAAGGCATGCTCATTTTCCAAAAAACAAATAAATGTCACATCGCATTTCTGCGCGAGTGTTTTTCCGAGCAGCCCGCTTTGTGAGGCGCACACGTGCAGGCCGAACGTGAGCATTATGTGGAACGCAGAGAATGAAATCAGGAGTGGCCCTATTAGCGCGTAATCCAGCACGCCAGTAATGTGTGGCGAGCGTCTCAGCCCGGCAGCTGAAGGTGGTCAGGTAGCAGTCCTTATCGACTCCACACAGATCCCAACACCTGGCCGCCTCTCGGCCAGCGCATATGATTGACTACCTGCGCTGATAGCACGCGGAATTATCTAAACAACATTTGCATATTGGTGTAATTATTTCCTTGGGTTAATGAGCTCCTGCGAAGCAGCTCGCCCTCTGAGACTGCTCCCGGTGACAGGTTCACATATTTCCTGTACGCCTGCCAACTTTGACAGAATCCCCACTGCTAACCTGTTGCTAGTATTTTAAGATATGACTGTCAGGCGCATTTTATGGCCCATAATATTGTTTTCGGCGCTGCGTCGCGCACCGCTAACAACAAACACCATCTTGCCGTGATGCCCCTGTCAGCATGGACTCACGCACCAGTTGCATTATGGGGGTCACCGGCAATAAAACGGACAGTTCCCACTGCACTAATATACCTGCGATGCGATGCGCACATATTGCAGTCGCGGTATAATTGTGTTCATCTCTGCAGTTTTTCCTCACTGAATACACAGCCCTGGATATTGTATTGAGCTTTTACAGACCTGACTGACTGCAAAAATACATAGTGCCCACGGAGTAACTCCCTGCTACATCCACTGCTGCCGTGGTAGAAACACAGGGACGGGAGATGAAGCAGGCGCGGTGTGGAGAGCGACTCTCTCACTCTCGCTGCCGCCTGACAGGCACTCTTCTTCGCTCGTGTCACTTTTTCGCAAGAGCACCGTCAGACAAATTCACAGGTTTGAAAGACGGAATCCACTGTGTATTTAATGTCATTCAAACCCATCCTATTTGCTGCCTGTCTTAAAAATAGATACCCCTGCTCTATCCTGTGTAATCACAAAGACCACTGTACACATGAATACAGACTTGTATATAAAAATTATCCCTAAATTCCTCCTTTTGCAATGTAAAACAGACAGAATATGTTTCTGTACGTCATGTATATCAATAATATTCAGGTGAATACTTCATCATGATAAAACGCCCTATAGTTTTTACCCCGTCTTGCTGATGATTTATGTGGGAAATGCAGAGCCATTATGCAATCTTAAATTATTCCCTCTTTCAACACAGACAGACAGACAGACACACACAAAGGTTTTAATTACATCTTTGTGGGGACTCTCCATTCATTTCTATGGCAAAAACCCTAATCCCAACTATGACAACCGTAACCCCTACCCAGCCCTAACTGAGTGATCAAACAAAATATATTTTAATTTTGTGATTGACATTTTAATTTTCTTAATGGCAGTCACAGATTTTTATAAAATGTAATAAAATGTATAAAGTTTCCGTTCGTGGGGGCCAGAAAAAAAATGGTACCCACAATGTCAAAATAACAGGTTCTTATCACATTGTGATATATACATAACCCATACATACAGACGCACACACACACACACACACAAGCAGTCAGGGCTCTTCAGAAACATGTTTTAATTTCCATTTCCTGCGCTCTGTTTACACAGCCTAATGAGAACCAGAGAGGGAAAAGCATCCTGACACAGTAAGAAAAATAACAGTAAAGCCAAGAACAATGACAAAGGCCCGACACAGGAAACTATTAATCTAACAGGCTTCAGCCCAGGATAAACAACCGCTAAGTATTTTTTTTTTACTTTCTCCTAAATCAGATTGTCATTCAAATGTGAATTAAAGTGGAGAAAAGATTAAGGAATGGCAATGCCTTTACAACCTTGAGTCCAGTTCTTAGGTGAGGGCAGGCTGATGCAACACTGAGGAAAGGTGATCAAGCTGAATTTGGACCAGTTTCCGGAACTTCTAAGTTTATTCCGCTTTAATTTGAATTCTACCACAGATGATACCACTGAGACAGATGGCAAAAACAGGAATGTTGTCCTTTTCTCAGAGCGGTGTCCAGCCACATCTGACAGAGGAATTCAAACTCTTATATACAGCAGCACCTAGAGAAGCAAGTGATGGTGCGAGTGGAGCAGGAACTGAAGAACGAATGCAGCTTGATCTTGGCTCATGATTTATTCTGTAAAAATATACAGCACATGCAACTACATGCATCCACCATGAGTGGCATTAATTGACATTCTGGCATTAATTCAACTAAATAATAAAAAAAATGTTAACTGATGTTAGTTATTTAGGCCAGAACAAAGATATTTAATAACTGAAGAAATTACTGGAACATTCTGGTTACAATATGGGAGGTCGAAGGCCATCATTGGTTGGCTGACTTGAAAAACAAGGAAGGTGGGGGGGGGGGGCGTGTGTGGGGCATCAACACTTTCACTAACCCACACTCTGTTCATTTACATCCAGAATATTTCCCTTTTGGTGTTTAACATTAATATTTTCATTATGGTTAATAATTAAATATTAAACAAGAACTCTGTGCAATTACATGTTTCATATTAACACCTCAGTCATTAGTAAGTTAGACCTTGATGCTGGATGTTTGCATGAATTCAAATACAAATCTGCTTCCTTCTTCCTATTTAAATATTCTAACAGGGGACCATTATTCCTTATTTAGAGGAAAGTCCCTCATACAAAAACACTGAAGGAGTAAGTGAGCGGAGCAGAGGGGTTACGTTGCCGACACATAGCTGTGAGTGATGGAGATGACGGGGCACCTCTTGATGCCCATTATGTTCCCTCAGA